CTCCGGTTGGTGGCTTGGTAGCATGGCATCGATCGGATGTCGCTCCCGTCATATCGCCAAGTCCGCTCCATTGATTTCCTCATCGTGCTTCAATGTTCGAAGTTGGTACAGCAAGATCATCGCAACCATCCATCGCGCACGTGGCGTCCGCCTTGCCATGGGTCACAGAGCCGGCATACGGCCCTGATCTTCCACGACCTCAGGAATGCGAAACCGAGATACGCCGCGTACCTACGCATATCACTCACTTCCCGGAACGAAGGTAATTCGGTTCACATCTGGATAGTTGAGAGGGGTAGAATGGTAGCATCTCCCCGCAGATGGCTACGAAACCCGAGGACCCCCGCCCCGGAGAACCCGTCCCGCGGAATCATGTTCCGCCAATCGCTTGACCGGAGACTGCCGTTCTTGGGTTGATGCAGCCAGGAACTTCCGCAGTCTTGCTGGCCGATTGATTAATGGTGTTGTATGGATGCAACCCCCGAAGAAGCTTATTGCTGATGAGTTCTTTTCCGGTTCGGGATAGCTGCTCGGTACCAAGTATTTACACGGGGCGCAACAAGTTACACAGATGGTGAGACGGCCCGGCATCACGTATATTCTCATCGCGATGTGTTCTCATAGAATCTGACGCCTCTTGTAAAGATATGGCCCTGCCTGCGTTTCTCACCCAACTATCCAGGCTCAGACGAGCTTCCACTCCCAGCCCAGCGGCATTCGATATCTCTGCTTCAAGCCACGTCTTTCCTCCGACGAATCAGAATCTTCGCCCTTGGGTTCACCAACGTCGAGAATCCGAAGCGCATGGGATCGACGGCGGTCATGTCGTCGTTCGGCAGCTTGAACTCATACTTGAGCAAGAAATGTGCCATAACCAGCTTGGTCGTGCTCGCACCAAAAAAGCGGCCAGGACAGGCGTGAGCTCCCAAGCCAAAGCCCAGGTGCTCGGGAGACACGCTGGCCAATTGCGCAATGTGCTCGTTGTTGCCGGCCTCGCGCATGCGCAGAAAGCGGTAGCCGTCGAATTTGTCGGGGTTGGGATAGATTTCCTTCAAGGCACTCAGTCAAGAGTCTAGCGTACGAAGTCAGATGGAGGTGTACTTACAGGATCCCACATGTTCGCGGAGGAAACTGCCACGCCCGTAGTCCGGGGGAGAACGCTGCCGTCGCTCAACTTGACGTTGTCTTCCATCACACGACGGCCTAGCGCGACTACCCAAGATGTCAGTATTGCTCCTCCAAAGCCATGCATCCTAACATGAAGACTCACCTGTCGCGATCGGCTTCAGCCGCAGCGTCTCCTTCAACACACTGTCCATCAACCTCAAGTTATACAGCGCAGAGCTCTTCCACCCTTCCGCCGCAACCTTCTTCACCTCCTCCCTCAACGGCTCAATCAACTCCTCATGCAAGCACAAATCCAGAATATTCTGCGAAACCAGATCCGTGCTCGACGCGTTCGCCAAGATACTCAGCCCCAGCTGCTGATATGCCGCGTTCTGCGCCGTCCGGTCCTGCTGCTTCTTCGCCAGCTTCTCGATCCACGCGAGCGCGTTGCTGAACACCACGCCCTCGGCCTCCTGCTCGCGGCGCCGCTGCTGGATGGGCTCGATCGCGCGGCACGCCGTGCGCAGCATCTGCCGCAGCTCGCGGCAGCAGGGCAGGAACCAGTGCACGAGGCGCCGGATCGGCGACGGGTAGGAGCGAAGGACTTTGGCGGCCGCCATGGCTTTGCTGGGGTAGGTCATTGTGATGGTGAGCCAGCGCGGGTCGCGGCAGAGTTCCGGGCCGAGAAAGACGAGAGCGGAGACACGGGCGACGATCTGCGGGATGGTTTGGGCGAGGGATATTTCGTGCCATTCTAAAGGGGGGTGAGTGAGTGCTTCTGGGGATCTGGGTTGGGGGAGATTACCTTCGTTATCTGTAAAGACGTCGCGGAGCGCATCAGATGCCTCTTCGGATAGTTGGCTGGAGAGCTTGGCTTTGAAATACGTCAGTGAGCTGGTGTGAGATCTCACAGCAGATCGACTCACAAATATCGGTTTGGGTGAGATGACTTCTGATCATCTCACGGAGCAGTTCACTACCAGAACTAAAATATGGCTCGAATCCCGGCGTTCCAGCTTGCCAGTACTTGAGAATTGTCAGAAAGTCAGTGCCCGATGATGTTGTTAAACTTCACTCACAGCCAACAAGAACTCCGTCGAGCTCAACCGGTTATCATTCCGAACCTCCATAGCAAATTCGGGGGCCAGGATCGTCATCGTGCCCTGCCCGGTATACACCCGAAAGGGCTTCCCGCCGTGTTCCTTTGCTCCTCTCGCAAGAAGACCCTTTCCATCTTTTAGGTACTCTTCCTTGGTCTTGTTGATGACGGGATAGATCTCGGCAGACTGGAACGACTTGCGGAGTGGGGACACAGCAACCACGGAGGCGACGACGATGAGAGCAAGCCAGTAAAGCGCCGAGTTCGATGTCGGCAGAGACGTTGGCAATTTGAGAGAGGCCAACTCAGCCCAGCTGGGCGACGTCCACGAGGCGTTGACGTCCATGATGTTGAACACAATTACGCCAAATTAAGAATAGCTTGGCAATGATTTTCTGCCCAGCCGACGGATGGAAGATATTTAAGAGCTCTGTCAGATTTACTGTCTTGAACATTTGCGACGCTTTTGCATTTCGGTGTGAACCAGCGGTATCCCGTCGGCAAGCAAGAACATCGCGAGAGACATGGTACCCAAATTCTACCGTAGCTTTTCTGGCCAATGAAATCCTCCAAACGTAGTATAGACTCTCAGAAATTGTTAGCAGCTACATAGCCAACGCGCTCGAGTGGTGTTCAGGGAACACACACAGCTCGGTCCGAAGGTAAGCATCGACAAACCTTCGGACCGTTGCTCAAAGTCGAGTGAGAGTGAGATAGGCGTCGTTATATAGTATATAGGAGGCACGACTCGCCCGAGTACGACGCCGTTGGTTCATGTCTTGCAACTCAATGCAGGCAATTTTCGCCTGCATTAGCCTCTCGAATCGCCGAGAGATCGAGCGGCGCATATGGACCGCTCCGTCCCGCCACTTACATGACCGGAGTCTCACGGCCGGAAGAATCCCGGAGACGCCACCACGCCGGCGTCGGGATTTCAGTCCGCTGCGAATATCGCCTGCAGGCATCGGACTTGGTCGCCGACATGAGACAAAAAAAAAAAAAAGACGAGAATGGTCTCTTTTGTCTTGCCTACCAAGCGACTGCTGACCAGTTCTGCCCAAAGCAAATGACACTCTCAGCCTTCTCTTTTCTCCCGCGTATTCTACGGCTGCTGGCGATCTCCTGCTGGATTTGAGCATTGAGTCCGCGTCCACCCCTGGCGCAGCGGTCCGAAAAAGGGACTTGCAAATTTGATGATCGACAGCTGCGCCGACTTGGCTTCGGACCGTGGTCCTAGTCCAGATGCCAAGCACGTGATTGGAGGCAGCTTTCCGAGTCATTTCTGCGCGCGCCATGGGACAGTTCCGACCTTCTCGGAACCAATCCGGGAGTCCTTTACCATGAGGATGGAAGGAAAAGGGTCGTGCAGCGGAACACTCCGCTAGTCATTGGGCATCGAGGAGCATAGTGCCCAGATTCTGGTTACAACACCATTGAGATATTATTGGACAGATGATACGGTACAGTGTCGGCGGGCAAGATCTTTACCGCTGTGCGGCCCTTATTCGGCAGGTTTGTAGGCTAGATGATTCTTCAAGCAGATTAAGGGGCATTTCCACGATCTGCTACAACGTGAACACGCGTACGGTACAGATGCCATAAGCAAAGGATGCATTTTGTTTCCGTAGTTGACAGTTAGAGATCTTCAGGGACGGGTGCGACGTGGCAGGGATACCTCCTGTTGACGTTGAGTCGTTTTTTTGCCTGCGCGCGGGTCTTGTTGGTCATCCCATCGCCATGTGTTTTGACTCTCGAAACATCAAAGTTTTCCAAGTCCAAACAATCTGCGGATCGTCTGATCAAAATCGGGACTTCGAGACTGAGGCTCAAACTGGTTCCACGCCACTTCGCTGCAATTGTTTCTTGATTACATGTTCAACGGCAGGCTTTTCGGCGTCCTGGGTTGCCAAGACATCGACGAGTTTTACGCTTGCGATAGACGAAATTGCACCCGACTCCTCGTTCTCCAGTCTACTGCTACAGCTCTCCAGTAGACTACGACTACAGATCCTCTCTCACTAAGACGTAAAGACCTATACTCGGCGTTATTAGTGGTCCGATGGGGCCTCGACGTCGTTATCAATCTCCATCTAAACTCCTATCGCGTCAGCGCCTCCTATTCCCTCAGCCCACACCATCCAAACAAGCTTCATCTTCCGCTTTAGAGTTCAATCAGTCCATCTCCATGCCATGAACGGCCCAGATGCCCCCTTCAGAAGCTCCCGAGACTGTAGTAAATAGCCAAGAACACCAAAAGGCTTGCCTGCCGGGCGGGAGAAGATTCTTCCTCAGCGATGCGTCCCCCGGAAAGCCACCTTTTAGGGCCGCGCTTCTCCGCACTTCGCTATTGCCGATGCATGGTTCATCCCCCTCAAGTTTATTTCGTCGTGGGGAAAAAACAAAGCTAAGCTCAGCTGGGTCAATTGGGGGCTTGTCAGTCGTCAGGGCTTTGGTGGTGCACTTGATTCAGCATCCATGCCATGCCGGTGCCAAGTGCCGTCCCTCCACACCACAGCAACACCGGCATCTTCCCCCGATGGGATCGCCGAGGGAGGGCGACTGTTTGGAAGGAGAACGACGTCGCATCGTGGTGCCGGGGCCGTTGAGATGAACACTTTGACGTCGTCAAATTTGCAAGGTCAGGTCCATTGCCGCGTGGCCCAGGTTGCATCTGCCAACATATAAGAACCGCCCCGGCCCCGACAAGAGACGATCGTCCTGGATGGATCTACTTGGCACCTGTCCTCCTCTCCAGCTCGGATTCTGTCCTGTTCAACAACACCCCTTCTCCGAGATGAAGTCGTTCACTACCTCGGCAGCGCTGCTGCTTCCGGCAGCCCAGGTCGCCATGGCCGCCTTCGCCGACGACTGCGCCAACTTCGCAAAGTCATTCGCCTACGAGAACACCACCGTCTGGTTCACCAACGTCGAGCCCGCAGGCGCCAACCTGACCTTCCCCGAGCGCCACCCGACCTGCTCTGGCACCAGCCAGGTTGTCGATGTCGAGCTCTGCCGTGTCTCGATGCTGGTCACCACTGGCGCTACCAGCAACATCAGTCTCGAGGCCTGGCTCCCTTCCAACTGGACAGGCCGCTTCCTGAGCACCGGCAACGGAGGAACCGGCGGCTGCATCCAGTACGAGGACATGGCCTATGCCACCTCCCGCGGTTTCGCGACTGTTGGTGCAAACAACGGCCACAACGGAACCGTTGGCGAGCCTTTCTACAACAACCCCGGCGTCATCGAGGACTTTGCCTACCGCTCCCTTCACACCGGCGTCGTTGTCGGCAAGAACGTGACCAAGGCCTTTTACGGCAAGGAGCACACCAGATCTTACTACCTTGGATGCTCCACGGGTGGAAGACAGGGCTTCAAGGAGGCCCAGGACTTTCCTGACGACTTCGACGGTATCGTGGCTGGCGCCCCCGCCTTCTCCTTCAACAACCTCACCTCCTGGAGCGGCCACTTCCTCCTGGCCACCGGCACCGAGGGCTCTCCCACGTTCCTCTCCAAGGACCAGTGGGCTCTCGTTGTTAAGGACGTCTTGACCCAGTGCGACGGTCTCGACGGACACGTCGACGGCATCATCGAGGACCCCGACCTGTGCCAGTACCGCCCTGAGTCCCTCATCTGCGGCGCCGGCAACTCCACCAACTGCCTGACCGGCACCCAAGCCGAGACCGTCCGCTCCGTCTTCTCCGACGTCTACGGCGTCGACGGCTCCCTCGTCTACCCCCGCCTCCAGCCCGGCGCCGACGCGACCAACATCCTCCTCACCGGCACCGCCTTCCCCTACACTAGAGACTGGTTCCGCTACGTCGTCTACAACGACCCCAACTGGGACCCCGCCACCCTGACCGTCAAGGACATGGCCTACTCCTCCGACCTGAACCCCTTCGACATCGCCACCTGGAAGGGCGACCTCTCCGGCGTCAAAGACCGCGGCACCAAGATCCTTCACTACCACGGCCTCCAGGACCCCATCATCAGCAGCGACAACTCCGCCCGCTACTACAACCACGTCTCGCGCACCATGGGCCTCACCTCCGCGCAGCTCGATGAGTTCTACCGCTACTTCCGCATCTCGGGCATGAACCACTGCAGCGGCGGCCCCGGTGCGACCTTCATCGGCAACAAGCCCGCCGCTGTTGCGGGCTACGAGGCGGAGGGCAACGTGCTGTCTGCCATTGTTCACTGGGTCGAGGACGGCATCGCCCCCGAGTCGATCCTCGGAACCGCGTACGTCAACGGTACTAAGGATGCGGGCGTTGCGTTCACGAGGAAGCACTGCAAGTACCCTACTCGCAACGTCTACTCGGGCTCTGGAGACCCCAATATCCCTGAGAGCTGGAACTGCGTTTAAAGCTCGTAAGCTTAATTACTTTTGCCTGTATACACTTTTCTACTGTAAATATCAGCCATGCATTAAATGAAGCGTAAAGAAGTAATTAGATGTACAAAAAATCACTCCTGAACCAAAAGCTCGTCCATGCAGGCAGGCAACGTGCCGTGACGCAAACGTGAGCGGTAATTCCCTCGGCATTTCCGGTGATGGCTGAGGTCCCTTTCCCCGGAAATTCCGGTATTATGGTACGCAAAAGGGAGACTCAAGCGGGGACTCATGTACCCCATATCTTTAGCGATTAAGACGGCCTGATTTATGAGGAAATGACCTGCGCCGGTGTACGGAGTTTGGAAGGCTCCGATAAACCGCGAGTTTTGGAAGTGGGACGCCCGATCGGAGGTCGGCCGGATCGGCGATCCGGTGCGAACTTGAGGATCATCGCCGGAAACGCCCGGCCCAGTGGGCAGGGTGAAGATTGGCCGGTCGGTCGCCCGAAGCCTTTGAAATGGCAATATACTTGGGTTAGACGAAGTTTCTTGGTACTCACAGGGGGGGCATCGAGGATTCCTTTATCGTAGCAAAGACACGGAAGACTCCGTGGGACCGTTCGCCTCTCCTCCGAAGCCTGTGGAGTCTACCCATGAACCAAGATTGAGGACCAAAAAAGACTGTGAAAATGCAACGTAACTGGTGACTTTCAGGCCTTGACGAGTGACTCTGGAGCCTGGTTGGATATACGGGGCCATGGCGAGCGGGCTTCGCTTAGACAGGGCTGCAAATTGGGGGATGTGATTGATCGTGCGAAGTGCGTCTTGTCCCGCATCCCTAGCACAAGTGAGTTGCACAAGATTGGCGTACCGGTGAAGAATGGATACAATTACCAGTTATGCCGTTCCGGGGAAGACGGCTTCGAAACAGGGATGTAAACCCTTGTTGGTTGATATGGTCCGATGTATGTGCCCTTGAGGCGGTGGCCAAATTGGCATGCTGCTTCTTACGTTGTTGATATGCTGTTGGTCGTCCTCCAGAATGGTCCGAAGCTGCAGGTGGCTAAATATCCTTGTGTTTGCTGGGCCTTTTGAATGTTTGTCTCTTTCCGACCCCTGCCAAGGTCCAACGACATTCTGTTGGTCCACGAACACAACCTTGTCGGAACTCACTCGCCTGCTGTCGGTGTTATCCACCTTCATGCGGACATGCGTTATTGATGGTCACACATGTTCTATGATAGGATGCCTGCAAGGAACTGGCGCATCAAATTTCGCCATGAAATCCTGGAACTTGGAGTCAACAGTGAATGACATGGATGTGTCGACGAGGTCGCACTTGCCCCTTCTAGATGCCCCGTTGAAAGTGTGCGGGATGTCAGAACCGAATCGGCGGATGTGCGTGCACGTACGCATGATAGGGATCGAGGCGGATTCTTCCAGGCCTACAACCGGATGGGCAACCGGATCATCGTTGCTGAATCCAAGCTAGCTTCTTCATAAATACTGGGATGATCTTGCTGAGTTCATACGCAGTCCGGCGGGATGTGGCGTGACTGAAGCTGTGCCTTCGGCCAAGACTTCCTTCATCGCCGTCGCTTGCGAACCTGCAGCTGCAGACTGTCCGTTCTGTTGGTGCTGGACCTGATACTTGGATCGTTCCATTGCAACTGTGAGATATCTCGCTACTAACAGTGGGTGAAGCATGGGGATGGCGAGGGAAACCGCTAGGCTAATCTGAAGGTCGGTTTGAGGACATGAATTTGGATGGTTCTCGGCCCACCAACCATTTGAGGCATCTTTGACTTTCTTTTTTGATGCGGCTAGGTGGCGAGCATCAAACATGTTCTTGCATGTAGCTGAAATTTAAAAGCTGGATGGAATCTTCGTTCCTTTTCGCTAATGTGTTCTGAACATTTTTGGTTCCATGTTCCATCATTTTCTCAATCTTGGGATCGTTCAAGCGACGACTAGTCTTTGACTAGGCCTCGAGCGGCCATCATAGACCCTAGCATTGATTCATCCCCGCCGTTATCGACCAGCATAGTAACAATGGCTGCCACGAATGCCACGACGCTGCCGCCAATGGACCCCGAATGGGCTGCTGAAAGCAACACCACCCAGATTCTGGTAGTTGTGTCGATCTTCAACTTTCTGGCTCTCGGATGCGTTGGAGCAAGATTATATGCCAGGATATGGGTCATCAAGGCGCCTGGGTGGGATGATTGGGCTATGATACCTGCTGCCGTCAGTTCTCGTCATTCTTCGATGGCAGAAAACCCCAAGCTGACCTCGACCTCTACAGATCTGCTCAGTGGCTGGCGGCTGGGTCATCTTCATAATACAGGCCCAATATGGCCTCGGTAAACATTATCGAACGATCGAACCGGCCGATTACACCAAGTTCCAGCAAGCTGCGTTTTGGTCCGTCATCATATCATCAGCCGCCGGCATGATGTTTCTGAAGCTCTCCATTGCACTGAACTTGCTCCGCTTGAGTACGCAGAGATGGTATCAATGGTCTTTGTGGGCAATCATGGGTAGGATTTCAAAGTTTAACGTCAAGATGGACACATGCTGACGAAAGCAGGCTTGACTGTTGTCTACTGTATTGGCGGAATGTTCCCGTTTCTCCTCAACTGCAAGCCGATGTCAGGGTATTGGGACAAGACTCTTCAGCCGAAACCGGTTTGTATGGCTTTGCCGCTGTTTATCAAGCTCGGCGTACTTAACACTGGTTTGTTTCCCCGTGAATCCAAAGTTCAATGGACCTGCTGCTGACAGAAGGCATAGCTCTCAATATCTTCACCGACGTTGTTCTTGCCACGCTTCCCGTGCCTGTTATTTGGAACCTGCAAATGAAACTTAGACTTCGACTTTACGTCATTGGTATCTTGAGTCTCGGCTACCTGTAAGAATTTCTCATGGAAATCCTGCTCGACCATCGCTGACAACTTCAATTAGTGCCGTTGCCATGGGAATCATCAAGGCCGTTTACCAAATCGCATTTGGCTCCGATATGGACAAAACATACCATTACCACATCTTTGTCTGGGGATTGTAAGTGCACAAGGTAAACCTGTTGCGCTGACTTGCTGACATCTCTTTTCACAGTCTCCAAATTCAGTTCGGAATCATCGCGGCCTGCGCGCCTGCCCTCCGGCCCCTCGTCAGCAAGATTCTGCGCCTCACCTCATACGATGACTACACGAACGAGTATGGCAGTCGATCACATATGAGCGGGACTGCAGTGCGGCACAAGCACCGCAATACCATGCGCAGTGGCATGGGTCCGCGAGTAGTCAGGGATCAGTACGAGCTGGATGGCAGGGAGATGGGTGATGGAGACAGCGACGACTGCCCTATGCCAACTGCCAAGGGAGCAACGGTGACTACGGCAAAGTTCTACAATGACAAAACTGGGGAGGGGTCGGGCAGTGAGGAATTGATTCTGCAAGGTGGCACAAGGAACAGTTTCAAGGGTATCATGAAAACCACGGAAGTCACTGTAAAATAGAAGGATCGTGGACCGTGGGCTTGCGAGCGTTCAATTGAAAAGGATATCGTGAGTATTGCGGACAATCTTACTTTCCAGCCGGGCTGTCCAAATTGGCCGAGATTTGCTGCTCCTTTTGCCAAGGCTGAGTGCACGACTTGACATGGAGAGCCGAGAAGGATGTTCGGCGTTGGTCGTCGTTGGAGCCAGGGTTGTCGTCCAATTGTTCGTTGGAACAGGGGTTCTCAAGTGGAAAAACACTCAGAACACTGAGACCACTGGGGGTACGGGAGGTCTAGCCCCAAAAGCACTTGCTCGAGAACGATCTTTCAATGAGACGGTGGCAAGTTGCTCAAAACATGCTCTTTCTTTCAGCCTAAGAAACAGGAAATACGAGCAAACTGTGACAAAACAAAAGCAAGTGGAAAATACCAGCACAAACTCACGTCACCACCATATCGTGCGGAGTCGGATTCGATGGTGGCGTTCTCCTCGAGTTCTCGACTCCAGGCAAAATTCTGTCGGCCGCCTCGGGTTGACGGGAAGTCTGCGCCGGTTGCTGGCCCCGAGATGGCGCTCTCGTTGGTCCGGATAATGTCCCTTGTTGACCGGCGACCAGGGCCCCGGCTTGGGCCCCGGACGGGACGCACGTACGCCAGTGGGGCTGGATCCAACTTTGATGCAACCTAGTGTTGGTCCTTCTTCGTTGACGTTGCTCTGAAGATGCATTCCAGATGAAGTTGGACCTCCGTCCCTGATCCTGGTCTCGTATGGACTGTCTTGCAGACGAGGGGCTGGCGAGTTATGGAAGTGGCGAAGAACGAGACTTGTGGCGGACTGAGAAGACACATGCAGGGGAGGCAAGTTCAGCGAGGCGATATGCATGCTAACGAAATAACAAGATCAAAAACGAAAAGGCGTTTGCACAATATGTACGGTTTTGAATTATGTGCTACCGAAGAATATGCATACTGAATGCTATGCTAATTACGTCCTCCCACAGCCCAGATTGCCCTCGCAGCCACCTCTTCTCTTCAATCGCTGCCTCAGAACTCCGCCAACAGCTTAGGCAGCACAAACTGGTTGTTGTACGCCCAGAGAATGGTCGAGAACTGGGCAGTCCAGGCACCGCCAGTGAAGAAGGTGCTCTTGCGTGCCTGAAGGGCGTAAAGGTTGGTGATGAAGCCGGCCTTGAGCTCCTCGGGAGAAACATGCAGATGCATAGCGCCATGGTTGGACCAGTACTTGATGTTGGGACGCTCGTTGCCGAGGCTCGCGATAGTGCCGGCATCCGCCATGTTGCTGAGGGCCTTCTTGACCATCTTCTGAGCCTCACAGCTTTCCAGGTCGCCAGTAGCAGCAACAAGGACGCGGAAGTTGTCAGAGCCGAGGTAGGAGAAGCCATCGACAAAGGGAGTACGGGGAAGGTTAAGCCAGTTGGCGGGGTTGAGGTTGGTGTAAGCCGTGCTGTCAGGGAGAGATGGGTGAGAAACGACACCAGCGTAGACGGAAGACCACTGCCACTTCTCGAAGATAGACGTCTCCTGCTCATCGATGTCGATGCCGTTCAGGTTGTCGAGGGTGGGCTCGAAAGAGATCAGGAGCTTCTTAGCACGGATGAGAGTGCGGGTGTTGTCGGCACCCTTGACGAGAACCTCAACGCCCTCCTCGGTACGGGCAGTCTTGATAGCAGTCGACGAGTAGAGAACGTCGTCACCGAGAAGATCGGCAATAGCATCGTAGATGTCCTGGTTGCGGAGCGAAACAGGCACAAAAGATCCAATGGTACCAAGCAGGGAGCGCGTGATGGGAGCGCCAAAGGCCTGCATGACGTACAACGTCGTCATATCACCAAGGTTGCCCATTCCCAAGCCAGTGACCTGGAAAACTCGAGGGACTGCGGCCTCCAGCTGGTACTTCGCGACGAAGTCGGAGAACTTGAGAGTCAGGTCCTCCGGAATGCCAGCGGACGCGGTGGGGAAGTTCTCGTAAGAGGGAAGGATGAACGCCTCATACTTCTCGCAAAGAGTAAGATACTTGGCCAATCCAGCCTGCGTGAGGTTGTAGGCGGGCGCAGAATAGTTCAGCTTCTTGCCCGTGTCGAAGTTGGCGTAGGTCGTTGTCAGGGAAAGACGAACGGGGTCCTGGATCGGAATGTTCAGGCGCTCGACGAACTCGCGAGCCCCGGTGTAGTCGGTGTAAGAGTAAACTCCAACATCGTAGGGCTTGCCGGTCTCCGGATCGTCATAGCTCGAGACGTGACCTCCCTTCACGGCGTTAGTACATGGAACTTGGTATGTATGCGAGGTAAGAGATGAGACTTACCAGACGGTTCTTCTTCTCAACAACGGCAATGGTCTTGTTGTAGTCCTCACGAAGACGCACGGCAGCGTGAGCGCCAGAAGCACCTCCTCCGAGAATGACTACATCTCTCTCAATGACGCTAGTCGCAGCACTGTCGGGGATGGCGGCCGCTGCCACAAGGGTCAGGGTGCCGAAGAAGGCAGCAATACGGGCAGACATGATTGGCAGGAAGAAAGGTATTAAAATTAAAGAATGAACGGAGCGATCAATACTGAAACCTCGAATGCTCGTGATCGCGGGTCTCTTCTCGTTGACTGACGAAGCAGAAGAGAGCGATGAAGACGAGTAAAGACAGTCTTGAGCTCATGTCGTGGCAATATGAAGATATTTATGTGAGCACCGTGTTGGATGGTACATCTGCATGCAATGTGCGGTAGCATCGGCATCATCCAATGTCGTTGGCTGCGGCTGTCATTTGCCCCTGCAGGACGCCCGCCGGAACCTGTTGGAACCTCGCGATTGCCAGGCCGCATCACCATCCTAATTGGGACGATTAGTTGCATATTACAAGAGCCATAGGGCCGGGGGTGAAAAGTGGCCCTTGTGTTTGCCATCGCCTTCGACATGTCGGCACCCCGCCGCGAAGACTGCTGGAAAAGTCGGTTCAGTGGTTGGAAGTCTGGGCAAGATTTCAACGACGGATCCCACTCAACGGGCTCCCATCTCGCCAGGTCGATTTCGTCTCAATAGAGTGTGCCATCCGTGCGGCGAAGGACACCGGAACAGCCAGAGGATCAGCTTCCTGGCCAGTCCATGTGGAGAAGGTGGAGTTTTCAACGTGGACTGCATCGGCCGGGGCCCGGGGTCCAGGGGCCTGGACATGAGAAACATGGGTGCCACCAACGGCAGTGATGGTGCAGGAGGGAAGTTGAGAAGTGGCAGATGAGAAATCTGCTGATTTTGCGCACCTTTCTGCGGGTTTAACGAGGCACTACTGCAGGCCAGTAAGAGGGACTTTTATCGAAGTGGAAAATCTTCTGATTCCCTCTCCAGCCTCTGGATTTCTCCGTATTTCACCGTCGGATTGCAAGATGTTCTTCTGCGAAGAAAGATGCGGAAGACGTCCTGCCTTCGATTTCTTCTACATGACTATATGGCACCGCACCGGACTTCTTTGTTGAGTTGTCGATTGCCAAAAGTAGGACCACACACACATCCATAGTAGGGGAATTCCTTCATCAGATTGAGGCAACCCTCAAGGTCAAGATGGCGGAGAGAACCCTTGCATCACCACGTGGTTGAACCAAGGTCTTTGCTGATAATTAGAGCCACCATGTCGCATGGAGTAAGCGATGAGGAACCTGGTCGTTGACGATGATACGCCTCATCCGTGGCAGTCCTTCGAGATTGCACAAAAATAATATAGGTAGCATTCAACGACCGCAACTCTTATTGTTGGCATGGTGAGGTGCACCGTTAAGTCGCTTTTTCATGAACTCATAAAGGGGGGAAGATTGTTTGCAATACGGTCTCAGCAGCTGCCAACTGGAGAGTTTCTCATTGCCGGATTCTCCGATCTCGACAAATTAGTAGACTGAAATTCTGAGGGCTTCCGGAATCCATTTGTTGCCCCGTTGCCAAGCCGATACCACACCTCAAATCAGCTTTGCCACGTGTTCTAGAATCCAAGTGCCCCTTGTACCAGCTGGAGCTCGGCTTAATATGCTATGTGGCACAGATGTTGAGGGCCGTAGCACCAACAGGGATACAAATGTCAGGTGCCTGGGTTTTGGCTGCGTTGGAGTTGAAGTACGAAGGGGTCGCATGATAATTAGTACTCAGCCCGAGATTAACGGAGCCTACTTTGGGACGACATAACATTAGCATAGCAGGTTTTGATGACAGAAAGGGGCGGTTTGATTATCGAAAGCCTGTACTGTATCGCAGGCGACTACATACAAAACCCGAACACGCTGTCTTCCACTGTACCAAAGTTTGTATCTTCGCCCAATGCCCCAAAATTGGCAGCAAGATCACATCCACCTTTTTCCATCGAGTTCATGGTGCTCCCTTGATTGAACATTGAATTGAAGACGGAATCAAGATCTGCCTGGAGGTCTGTAGACGAATTATTAATCCACTCAACTCAGTACCACAGTTGGGTAACCTACCTAGAAGATTCTGGATCTCGTCTGCGGGTTCTTCCATGTCAATGTTCTGTGCGACCTTTTCTAAACGAAGCATGAGAGACTTGAGCAATTTCAAAGGTCGTTTAAGGCCGTAATTGCATCCTCTCTGATACTCAAGCAGCGCCAGCCAAAAGAAGCGGATGCAGTTGATATGCTCCTCGGAATCCTGGCCGGTTTGCTGCAGAATGACTACGACAGCACAGTAGCTTGCATATGATATGCCATACTGAGCACGGCGGAGAGTGAAGGTGTGTTTGTACACTTCAACGAGCTTCCAAATGCGGAAAGCGGCGTTGAGGCATTTCTCCTCGGCCTCTCTTTTCGATTCAACACTTAACGAAAAGGCGAAGTGACCGCGATTGAGAAATGCCTGCTCAGTGAGGATTATCAGGGTCCAAAATATGGCACTTGTTTGTATTAGCGAAATGGACCTGGTTCAGGCAAAGGACGGCTTACTGGGGTGTGATCTGATGTGGTGGCGGCGTGATATCAACCCCTGGTTCGAATTGGAGCCATCCTGGGAGTTCCGCTTTCCACGTCAACAGCTGTTCCCTGACCCTGTCTCGCTCCTCTAGCAAAGTCTCTTCAGAGGTCTCTGCACTGGATGTCGAGTAGAATGCTCGGATAACTCGGCCCATGATGTCGCATAGCCGAAGAAGGCTTTGGAAGGTGCTGAGGGCATATGAAGGCCGCGGTTGGTATGATGATACGCGCATACCCAAGGGCTCAATCAAAGGATCGTTATATGGCTTCCACTCTTCTAGCTCTTCATGAGAGTCGAAATACTCTCTAGAGACGGTTCCATGTACTTCAGGCATAGTGGGAGACCTCCCTAAGAAGAGAGACTGGAGCATGTCTCCTACGTAGGCCCCCCAATAGACTCTCTTCCGAAGCTCCAGATCAATAGCGGAGGCGCGGTAGTTTGAACTGTCGAGGGCGACTGTCTGAACATCGAGATGGCAACCGATGTCGGTAAGCATCCTGTATCCAATACCACAGAATATCCAGCCGGCGCTTTGCATGCCGCGAGGCACCAAGCATGCACCGCATGTCAACAGGGCCACAACAGTAGGTATTGTGGGTTTGTCAACATAGTCGGCGAGCAAAACCTTGAAACGGTTGTAATATGCCATTCCTCTGCTCTGCGGATCTGCGGAGTTGAGCCGAAGGCAAGTGCGGTCACTATACAGACTGCTCTGCAGGTATATCGCATTCAGCAAAAGCTTGTTGGAGTAGGGACCATTTCTGACGAGACTGTCCATGACCGCCGGCCGATATGTCAGAAGATACGACAGGTGTTGCCGGTTCCAGTGCAAATCAAGTAAGTGCATCGCGGTGTCTGCTGGGACCCCGTCGAAGTCAATGTTGGCTGTGATGCTTGGTGATGAATGAAGCATCAGCTCTTCTTGCCTTCTTATAGCAGCGTTCGATATGAGCCGGTCTTTGATAGCCTCTTTACACACCAGGGGATTGTTGCCCGCAAGTCGCTGTCGCGCATTGACAAGTGATGATCTTGATGTATGGTCATGCAATAGACTTGTAGCTCCGTAGACCTGAACTCCTTCAGCTTCCTGAGTATTGTCTTCGTCATCTTGGGTATCTCGTGTCGGTGTCTCATTAGTGGGCGCCGGAGTTTGTGCGTAGAGTACATTTTCGGTGACAGTTGCGGTAGAGCCAGGGGTTCTATGCGCGAATGGGGTTCTACTAGGTGTGCATGATCTGTCGTCGAAAATGAGATATGTAGTTCCATACTGCGCCGACGCAGTCAACTCTTCTGCTTGAACCGCTTCAATGCCCGCATTGTTACACCGTTGGAGAGCATGAGATTCGTCCTGACCGGTGGCTGTCTGAGATGCAGCATTGCTTGGCGAGTCCCCAACTTGCCGTCTAAGATCTTCAATTTGTTTCTGCAGGGACTTGACATCCTCCCTTCTTGTCCGGACCGCTGTCTTTCTCGCGTCTTTTGGGTAGTCGCAGACCAAGTTTTTCATTCGGCATGTGCCACATAGAGGACGTTGACCGTCGCATTTCACCTTTCTTCTCCGGCAGTTACTGCAGGTGTGGCAGATGCCAGCGTTGGTTTTGGCCCGAGTTCCGTGTCTTCTGGACGATAACGGAGAATCCCGAGCATCTGCCGAGGATGACATCGTATCAGACCGGGAAGACTCCGGAAAAGGTTACTTGGCCAGACGCAGTCTCTGGAGAACGAAAAAGCCGAGCACTGTCTTTGTCGGAGTCCTTTCAATTGGACATGCGAGTTTTCGGTGATGCTGCGATGAGGAGAGATCCGAATATGGTGTGTAATGCGATGGGAGAAAGGAGCTTTACCTCGGATGTTTGACGTCCGAATCGGACTTTGAAGCAACCGGGCCCCACTTTCTCGTTGGAACCGACTACGAACTTGGCTGATAGACTTCGAAATACTTGAATCTTCAATTTACAACCATGATATGTAAAATTGTCAACAGACTTCGACTTCCTTGTCATTAGAGTTTTGTTCTGGCTTAGGACGATATACGATTTGGAAATCCGGAGCTCGTCGGTTAGTTGCCCGTTGCTCGACACTATTCAATCATCATTCTAAACCGGCAACTAGGCTCAAGTTACTCAACAATGAAAACCATTGGCATTGTGGGCGGTATTGCTTGGCCCAGCACCTTGGTTTATTACAAAGAAATCCACGAGTACTTCAAAACACAGAGTGGAAGCGACGACCTTCACACCCCAAAACTTGTCGTCGCGCAAACAGACTTCGCCCTCATCGAAAAAGCCCAGGCGGAGGGAAATTGGGATGAGGTCGGACGGCTTCTTGCCGCTGAGGCAAATAAGCTCAAGGCGGCTGGGGCCGATTTCTTTCTTTTGGCATGCAACACGGTTCACACCGCCGACGACTTCATCATCAAAAATGTCGACCTGCCATTAGTCCATATTGTTGATGCCGCCGCTGAGACGGTCATCGGGATGGGTTGCAAGACCGTGGGCTTGCTTGGTAGCCGTTACACGATGCGAGGCACCTACTTCGTTGGACGTCTGAAAGACATGTATGGATTGCAGGTGTTGGTGGCTGAAGGAGATCATGAAGAGAATGTACACCATGCTCTCTACAACGAACTTGCCAAAAACATCTTCTTGGAGAAAACTAGATTCAAATTCCAGGCGGCTATTGAAGACCTAATAGCTAGAGGGGCTGAGGCTATCATTCTCGGATGTACGGAGTTCGGAATTCTAGTGAAGGAGCAGCATAGCTCCGTGCCAATTATCGACACTAGCATTTTACATGCTCGAGCTGCAGTGGACTTCGCTCTTGAAGTTTGAAATTGCAAAACCTTTCACAAAAGCCATATAGATAAAGATAGATACCCTACGTTACCCAAGAGACAGTTTTTCTCCGCGAACAAGGGTGCTGAGGGGATTTTCAGTGTAACTAATTTACGCTCCAAGCCTTTGAGATATATCGGACATGCGTAGTTTGAAGGCTCAATTATCACAATGCATCGATGCGTTTCACGTAAATGACTTTGTAGCCACCTGAATGCTCGGAAAGGCAAAAGAATATTCGTTTGTCAGTTCCGAAGAATGAATGTCTCAGTTCTTGAAGAAAGGAAGAGAGTATTGGCAAGCTAGGACTGCACCAGTCGATAATCTATTTACACCCGTTCAACTCTCCTAGGCAGTCCCGGATAGATGTCCTTTCCATGCTCTGATACAGCTTGAAACTGTCAAATACTCGGCAACCGAGACTTTTCTCGAAAGCTTCTTGGTCTTCTAAAGAGACAGCGCTTGCTTTGAAGGCACCTGCGCCGAGATTGGAATGGAAGATTCCTGCTGCACTCACAGGGAGAAAGTCTTCATAAGTGATAGGCTCATACCCCAAGACTCCAGACTTCACCAACACATCAATATCATCCAAATGAAACATCCTAGAATAGGGCTTTTCGATGACATGGTAAGTGAAGTATGCGAGCTGTTGTTGACGCAGGACGTGTAGATCGTCAGGAAAGTCCTGGAAAGTCTTCATCAAGACAGCCTCTTTTGAAGATCCTTGCTCTTGTTCGCGTATGAATTTGCCATACAAATCATCGTATAAGCGCCGACCTTTGGGAGTCAGAGCAATACCTCGCTGTTCTATCTCCCCGAATCGCGCTTTATGTCTACCACCTTTCTCGGACCCACTGGAAAATGCGATCTCCTCCTCGAGAGCGAGGAAGCTGGTCTGCCTGAGGAGGATGGGGAACTGCCTGGATGGTGGCCCCTCTATCCTGTCTTTTGCCTGCAGGCCGTGCTCGTGCATTTTAAGTTGGGCGGCCTCGATGTCCAAAACCCGAGGTGTAAGATGATTGATATGAGGTCCTCTGAAGCACACCACATCTGCGATCAAGGGATGAGCCTTTTGAAGACGCCTGTACGTCTGTACATCGACCGTTGAGGTCTTGTGCCACCGGAAAGTCTCGAGAGCCTCAATGATGAGCTCGTCTGCTTTTGCCTTCGGCACTGACGTGAGGGCCTCCAACTCTTCGATAAGCTGGATGCATCGAGGCGTGAAGATTTTCCGATCACTTAGGACCCTCTCTGCGCACGAGCGCAACTCGTCATCGTTGATGAGATCGAGCCTCAGCAGAGAGGTGAAGACGCGAAAGGGGTTATGGGCGAGTGCGTGACTGGTAAGAGGCCGGAAACAAGTTGCGTGGACAGGAAGACCAGCAACTGAGAGATCGTAGTAGCCGACCGCATGCATGCCCATGATTGAAAATAGGCGTCGGATCATTTGAAGCTCAACGGGGGTGCCGAGACGAATTGCGCCGTGTCTCTCGACTTCTAGACGGTGTTGCGTGTTCGAAGCGTGCTGATCTTGTTGACGATTGATTTGCGACACAATGTTTACCAGAGTTCCGTATTGGGGAACCTCTGCGTGGTACATTTCAGACAATGCCATTGAAAGCTTGGCCCTTATCTCGTCAGGGGAGACTTGACCATCATTGGTGGTAGTGTCCATTCTGTTGATGACTCGCGATGGGGTCGTATGGTTGTAATGCAAGGTCCGTAAACGGTGATAGCATGAACTCTGGCGCCAGGATGGTTTGTAGAGAAAGTGTGCAATTGTTTGGGCTTTGACAAGGTACAAAATATAGCCTCTTACATGTAATCAGTCAAGTCAGAAATATCCGCCATGTGTGAGAAGAGATATAGGCCTCGTCGGACATGCTCGGGCGTGCATGTCCGAAGGTGTATCCACCGCGGACATGCAGGTCCGCCGCCCTCGGTCATTCATGATGTCGAACTCGATAATGAGGGCTAACCCCCGCGGTGAGATTTTGAATGGAAAATGATTCTAGTCTCAACTAACACATATTTCTTCTGGCTGAGCTCGTTGCATTCGCCTTCAAGAAAGAATACGGGTGGAGACCACATCAGAGTTTGCATAGAAGCTTTCGACATAGGTGCCAGCTCCGTGGGTTGTCCAAGACTTCATCTCTGAAGTTTCTCAAATTGCTCATATAGACTATCTCATAAGTTTCCAGGTGTTGCCCGAACACCGGCTACATCTAGTCCCGCACGATACTGGGTGCCAGGTAACCATCCAGATGATGTACAGTCTTGATCCAGATGATGTACAGTCTTGAGACACGAATTGTTACCCATATGGTCATCTTGGATGCATATCCAGTCCATCATTCCATTTAGCAAGTAAACTTAGCAGGTCCTGGGATCGTGTAGGATGTGACCGGCGGGTAATAGATGTTGATGGTGATGCCGGGGTCAGTTCCCTTAGTACGGTGTCAGAATTCGGTTTCATAAACTCAAAGGATGCGCTCTTTACCTTGTAGGCACCAGGAAAGCTGACGGTCGATGGGGTCTTGGCCCCAGTTCCGCCGACGACGTTGATCTGGGCGCACTCCATGTACAGCTGAGCTCCTGGGTACGAGCTGGCGCCGTGCAGGGCAATCATCTCAGCTCGGAGAAGGTATTGGCCACTCGCAATACACTTCGGGATAGTAATAGACTGGCGGCCTTGGTTGTTGATGACGTTTGAGGTACCCCAAACACCATTGTTATAGCCATCTTCTTGAATCTTGAACCAGCCGTCACCGATACCGGTATCAGTCTTCGCGTCGCTGACCTTCTTCATGTAGGTGATAGTAGGTCCCAAATGGCTTGCATCCATGACATCGTCAGCACCACTGGTCAAAGTATGGCGCCAAATGGCGGTGACGGTTGATCCGGCGGTGACGCTGATCACCTTGTCGGTCGGGGTAGTCGGGTT